AGACCAGCTGCCAGCTGATGCTTCCTGCTCGTGGAATCTCAATGCTCCCCGCTTCATTCCAAGATATGCACGCAGCCCCATCCTTCCCCTGTCTTGGGCAATGAAAGAGCATCTGCCGTCATATTCTCCCATCCTTTCTGGAAATTATGTTTTCAGGCAAGGACTATCAAGCAGACCCTTTTGCCAAGTGTCCTATTGACCGAGGCTAAGTGTTTTTAATGCATATTCCTTATGGACACCTGCCCTAGAGTTTTATCTTCCTTCCTCTTCCTCTGAGCTGTTGGGATGACTCCTTTTCCCTCCATCACAAAAATAGACAATAACCATCACGGTAAATATTTTGGTTTTTTTTTTTCTCCCTGTCTGACATCAGCCTATCAACTTGCACTCTTTTTACAAGCTGTTTCATTGCCCTTGGGCTATAAATTCAGAAACGTAGTTTAGAGAGGAATTTCTGATGTAAGTAAGTGAGAAGACACCCCTCTGAATCTAAATAAGATCAACTGAGACCTCTGTCGTCTCCAGACTCTATCCCACTCTTAGCATTTAGAGTTGAAAGTTCCGTTGCTGCAGCATTTATTTCATCCTTATATCAGTAGGATAAAACTGAAAACTGTCTTCCTTCGGGCAAAGTTCATATATTAGCTTTCCAATACTTTGCAATAAGGAACCTAATTCTCTGGTTGGAGCTTTCCCAGATCAAGTGGGCTTAAATTAAAAAGAGAATAGGTTTGGTTTAAACGTTAGAGGAGTAAGTCCTTGACTTACAGACATGTGTTTAATGATTGCACAGTTACAGTGGCCCTAAAAAAGTGACTCCTTGTACTTAGGACTGCTGTAGCATCCTCACAGTCATGTGATCAAAATTTTGGCTCTTGACCACTAGCATGCATCTATGATGGGCCTGGGCCGCATGATTGCCACTTGCAGCCTCCCATTCTGGCTGTTGAAGGCCACAAGTCTTAATGTTGATAAGGTTGAACATCCCTGGTCTGGAGCAATGTCCTGAAAAATCTCCCTGTGCCAGACTTTTAAGAGAGTCTTGTCCAGGACTGGACGCTAAAACATATAAGGAACGGTTGCTGGAATTGGGTATGTCTAGTTTAATGAAGAGAAGGATGAGGAGTGACAGGATAGCAGTCTTCCAATATCTCAGGGGCTGCCACAAAGAAGAGGGAGTCAAGCTATTCTCCAAAGCACCTGAAGGCAGGACAAGAAGCAACGGATGGAAACTATTCAAGGAGAGAAGCAACCTAGAACTAAGAAGAAACTTCCTGACAGTTAGAACAATTAACTAGTAGAACAACCTGCCTCCAGAAGTTTTAAAGAAGAGATTGGACAGCCATTTGTCTGAAATGGTATAGGGTTTCCTGCCTGAGCAGGGGGTTGGACTAGATGACCTCCAAGGTCCTTTCCAACTTTATTATTATTGTTGTTATTATTATTATTATTATTCCAGCCATAAGTCACTTTTTTCCATGTTGTAATTCAAATGGTCACTAAGCAAATGGTTATAAGTCGAGGATTACCTGAATTAGGCTGGGCTGAGAAAAAGTGACTTTCTCAAAGTCACTCCCCCTGAGCTTTCCTTGTTGAGTCTAGATTTGAACTTGGCTTGCTCGGGGTTCTACAACTGTACAGCACATAGGCGTTTGTGTGTCATGCAGGACAGACACGCATGCAGATTACACACAATTTCATTTCCAGAACTTTGCTTCCGTAACTCAAGATGGAGCCTTCACCTTTGGTCAAGAAAAAAATACTTCAATACCAAACACTTCCGCTATTGAATGTGATTCTCGGGATTTGATGACGGATCACCAACCGTGGGAGAAATACAGATAAGCTTCTGATGATCTTGACCACCCACCAACTTCCAGAGGGACCACATAATTATGTTTCCTGGAGATGAACAGAGTTCAGCTTTGCCAAATTGGCATACTCTTGACCTGTTGGAGTTCAGGATTTAATTGCAGGGCAGAAAACCAAGGAAGGAGGCTGGCTGATAAGTTTGGTTCAACTTTCAGCAACAGATGGACCTACGGGAAAGATTATCACTTTGATATCTGCTAAATGAGATTTTTTCCAGCTCCCTCAAGGTCAAACAAATACAATTTCCCGGCTTCCTTTCTATAGTGCTTTCTGCACTACGTCCTCTCCAAAAAAGAAGAAAGCATATTGTATAGTCTTTCGCATACCATCACTTTAAAAAGAATTGCTGACCGCTTAAATATAGAGCAAAATGGCTCAGGAAACAAATAGCGGCGAGTCCAGCTTTAAACTCCATTTAGACACAAAATTTGCTGCCCTACATAGCATTTGTCCTCTTAGCCTCATTTAATTGGGAGCCTTGTTTGAAAGGACAAAGACATGATTTATGAATGCTGGCCTGATGAAGCTGGAGGAGGGGGTGGGCTAAAAATACAGACCAAAAGAGCAAATTGATGTCCATGGGTATATATATATCCTCACTCTCAATTTTTTCCTAACTGCTTCCTTTCGGTTCGGAAAAACCACATTCCAATCAGTGCACTTGGAAGAGAGATGACCTCTTTTCCATCAACAGGGGTCAGTCTAGATAAGCCCAGAGGTCTCACCAAATTGAAGGTTTTTATTAAGAAAGGGAAAAAGAGATTGGAACAAGGTGCCTGAAGACTTACTCAAGAGTAAGGGAGCAGGTTTGAGCCAGGGGCAAGGGCTAAGTTTAACTCCCCAACCAACATACATGCGACCCAATCGGGTCTAATGGTTATGGCACCAGGCTAAAAACCAGGAGATTATGAGTTCTAGTCCAACCTTAAGCGTGAAATCTGGCTAGGTGACTTTCGGCCAATCACCAGGAGACAGTGCGTTCTAGTCCTGCCTTAAGCATGAAAGCCAGCTGGGTATCTTTCAGCCAGTCCTTCTCTTGCAGCCCAACCCACCTCACAAGGTTGTCGCTGTTGGGAGCATTAAATATGTTCTTTATAAACTTCTTTATAAAAAATAAAATAAGGCGAGATCCCAATAAATAAAATAAACGATGGTCCTCTCCCAATCTTCCTAAAACCCATTTCTCATCCGCAAAGGTTTGCCCTGTGGGGTTCCGTAGTACAGACCAGGGACCCTCACCCCAAGCTTCTTGAAGGACTTGCCTTTTGAAGAACTGGCTGGATGGCACGGCCCCCTTCCAATCTTTCTTCCCCCCCCCTCCCCGAATAAAAATTAAAAAAAAAAAATCCACATTGCCGGAAATTTCCCCACCCCACCCACCCCCCCCAAGCTCTCCTTTCTAGGTTTTCTCTCTAAATATCATTAATAATAAAGGACAGCCCACGTTTCGCAGCGCCCGGCTGCCATTGGAGGGGCAAGGAAAGCCGAGCAAATAAAATAAACGAATAAATAAATAAATAAATCAACGAGCCCATAAATCTCTTCCTCGTTCGGCTTGGCCAAGAGAGGCGTTTTTCTTTCTTTCTTTTTTGGTTCCAAAAACTCTTCAGTACATTTGAACGTGAGCTGCGGAGCGTTCTCGGAGAGGCTCCTGCTGTGTCAGCACCACGGACAGCTCAGCCGGTTTATTTATTTTATTTATTTATTCTAATAGGGAGGAGAAAGAGAGAGAGAGATCCCTATGACTGCAGGGGCTGGCTAAGCCCGCCCCCCCCGCCTCCCGCCAGTCAATTTCCCTTAGCCCCAGACTTCCAGGAATCAAACCCTTGCCTTCTTCAGGTCGAGATGCCCTGGGTCCAGGCAGTCTGAATCCCAACTCCCATCCTCCCCAGCCAGGCGAGCTGGGAAAGAGGATGAGAGAGCCGTCAACGGGCTCATCGTGTGTGTGTGTGTGTGTGTGTGTGTGTGTGTGTGTGTGTGTGTGACCTTTTGAGATTTGCGTCCTCTTCCCTCCATCAGGTTAGAGATTTGGAGATATCGGAACAATTTAAAAGAAAAAGGAAGGGAAGGAAGAATGAAAGAAGAGAACAAGGTTCGGCTGATTCACAGAGGACGAGTGTCATAAAAACGGTGACTTAAAGAGCAAGGCGACAGCAAAGCCTCCAAGAATCGAGGCAGTCTACCAGCAAAGTGAATTTGCTGGTTTAGTAACGGATTGTTCCAAGCCCGGGTTTTTGTTTTTTTTTTTTACCCCTTAGCTTTCTCCTCCCCAATCTTGACTGTTTGAATGTGACTTCCAGACTATCCAAAAGGGTGGGTTTGGGTTCAGCCCCCCCCCCAGAGCCTAATTAAATGCGAGTCCTCTGTCCTGCAACTGGGGGGGATGACTCTCCAAGCCCCCCAGTCCCTAAGGGGCACTTGAAGGCTTAACGAGAGCAATCTTTGCTTGACATCGTGAGTTATTAATGTCCCCTTCCCCCCTCCAATAACAGCAACACGTTCCTCAAATCCAAAACTGCCCAAGTTTTGCCCAAGTTGGAGTAAAACCCTCCTCATGCAGACCCCTCACCCCCAATTCCAACCTCGAGGACAAGGACTAGCCCCTGCTCCTTCCTGGAGCTCTGAAACTCTCCTTAAAAAAAAAATATCAATAACACAGTGCTGAGCGGGGTAACCCCGACAGTGGCCGTTGATCCTAAAAAGAATTTCTTGAGGCCAATCCACCTCAAGTCGGAAAAGACAGCCTAGAATTCTCTGTCAAGTGCCTGAGCTGACAGCATGTCCTCTGTCCCCTTCTGAGGGACAACAAACTCATCTCCACGCTCATACACCTTCTTGGTGAAGATTAGAGTAGGCAGAACCTCTAAATGGGTGGGGAAAGGTTGTCTATAAGTTTTAAGAGGAAGAGGAGAAAGAAAAAGAAAGAAAGAAAGAAGGAAAGAAAGAAAGAAAGAAAGAAAGAAAGAAAGAAAGAAGAGAAATGGAAGGAAAGGAAGGAAGAAAGGAAGGGAAGGAGAAAGGAAGGAAGGAAGGAAGGAAAAAGGAAAAATAGGAGAAAGGAAGGAAGGAAAAAGGAAAGATAGGAGAAAGAGGGAAGGAGGAAGGAGAGAGAGAGATAAATATCTTACCAGGGAGCCCCAAGCACAGCAGGAGACTGTAGTAAATGATTGGTGCGTATCCTAAGCCGCAGCCGCGCAAGGAAGCATTATACATGTGAATGTAATCCTGCTCCATTGACCTGCTCCTTCTGGGTTGCCGAGCTGAGCCGGGTTAGGAGGTGGGGAGGCAGAATCGGGCTCCGGGATCGGCTGTTCCACATCCCAGCCTCTGCTCCTGGAGACGGCTGGGCACTTGTCACTGGAGAGGGAGGAACTCAGCCCCGGCAGCACATGGACCTTCCAGCCGGTCTGGCAGAGGGTGGCAGGAGAGAGAAAGAGGAGGCGGAGATGGAGACAGAAGAAGAAGAAGGGAAGGAGGGAGGAGGCAATTCCAGCCGCCGGTTAGGCAAAGGGTTAATGCCTCTTCCTGACTGGAGGCGCGGCGCCCACCTTGAAATACAGACGGACACACACACACACCAATGTATACCACATATACACACACACACATATTCTTTCCCCGCCTTCCTTCTGGGTCCTAGCACCCCTCATTTTCAACAATGTACCCTTCTTTGGAGGGATATTAGGGGAGCCGGCTGTAGGACCAGCTCACAGGAAGTCCCCAGCATGGAGCTGATCCTGTTCCCCGGAAAGCTCAACAAGGGCCTGGTTAACACTGGGCTGGAGACCACTGAGAAATCCCGCCACATTAGGCTAGATTGGACTTTTTTTTTTATGTGTCTGTTTTACCTCCACACTGTATTTATGGCTAGCTTCAGACAAGGGACTGAGCAGTTGGTCATACGTGTGATAGCGGGGTGGCATGTTGTGAGAATAGACCCACACTGGCCTGTAAATCCTTGTTTAGCAAAAACTGTTGGGGAGTGCAATAGAACGTGGTTCCATACTTTTCAAATTAGGAGGAGTTCAGTGGGAACTATCAGTTCCCACGTGCTGGATTTTCCAAATCTTTTGAGGATGAAATTTGAGATGGGTTTTGCAGTTGAAACTGATTTGCGTCCTGCCCTGTAATAAGTCCCTTTTGGACAGATCTGATTTTTCGTTTTAATTTGGTTCTTGAAGACCTACTGATTTTTTTGGAGAGCTATGCATTTCTTGGGATTTGGTTACAAGAACTCAACCAAACAGGATAGGAACTAACAAGAGGACAGAAAAGTCAGGACTACTTACAAATAAGAGCAATAATAATAAATCTTTTCTGAAGTCTAGTCCCAAAGAAGAACTTAACAATCCCAGAATTCCAACCAGCAAAATTAATTCACAACTTAACCACCAACACAATGGAACCAATTATTGTCAAATAAAATCAAACAGAACCAGCCTGTCTACTATAGGATGCCCTACAATAGCGAAGAGCAAAGATACATCCATAATTAATGGATAGTGTGTGTGTGTGTGTGTGTGTGTGTGTGTGTGTGTGTGTGTGTATTTAATTGAAAAATAGCAACCACAATACTGGGGCCAACACTTGGAAGGACGCCCAAGCTCGGTTAATTTTATGATCGTATAAAACTGGATAAAAAATACAATTATGTAGCAGTCTGAGGAGCCACTGCTGTTTTGCTCTGGGTTGATCCAAACAGTTCCTTCAATGTGTTTTCTTTTCCCCCAGGCTTTAAGGCGGCACTAAAATAAAGATAAAGGTAAAAGTTTCCCCTCTGCAGTCCTGTCCGATTCTAAGCATTTCTGTTTTCTAGCTGAGGGAGCCAGACAATTTCTGTGGCCAGCATGGCTACAGGTCAAAGGCACACAGAATGCTGATACCTTCCCATCCAAATGGTACCTATTTATTTACTTGCATTTGCATGCTTTTGGACTGCTCAATGGAAAGGGGCTGGGGCAAGGGACGGGAACTCGTCCCATCGCATGGAACCTGGGTCTCGAACTGGGCTATCAGCCCTCCCGCTGAGAAGCTCACCCTGGCACCAAAATGTGGTGATATAATTCGCTTTATCCCAACCGCCAATTGCTCTTCTGTCTTGGGACGAGTTGAGAAAAGCAACTGGGGTGGATTTTCTGCCTTTTTTTTTCTTTTTAAAAAGCACAATTTAGTCATTGTCTCTAATGTGGTGAGGCTTCGGTGGGGGGGAAAGGTGAGTTTTGATTGTGTGTGTGTGTGCTTGTGTGTGTGTTAACAGTCTATCAGTACTTGATCCAACCACACTTGGTGTGTGTGGTGAGATGGGGACGTGGAAGTGGGGAATTCTGGGAGTTGGAAGTCCACGGGATCTTAAAGTTGCCAAGAGTGGACACCCCTGTTTTAAAGATGTGAATCTGAAGCTTAAATTTGAAGCTCGCTCCATGCCCTCCTTGCTTCAGTAATGTTTCCAGAGCGTTTTGAGGGTGGGTAAATAATCTCCAAAGGAATTCCCAGAATAAGCAGCAGTACCAGGCCTTAAGCAGGATGAAATACAGCTAGGATGGGCTAATTTTTGAAAGTGGCGGTGATAATTCACGGGTCATAAAGCAAGGAAACACTTGTCCTTCCCCTGCTGAGGGATGAGCAGTCAACAAGGATCTGGTGTCAGCCAGTCAAGTTATTATCTGATAAATTGCTCCCCTCTTGGTTGCTTGAGGGGATGAGAGAGATGACCGGTTCAGGATTTGAATCCTACCATTTTTCCTTTTCCTTTTCACTGGATTAGGTGTATCTGGACTAGTCCTACATGGCTGATGGTTGATCTGAATCAGAATCTTTCTATTTCTACTCTGGTGACTTAACTGCTATAACTGTTACACCTGTTCTCTCCCCATCCATCTCTTTGTTATCATATCAATGTATTCTCTTTGTGTTCTTTTTCATTATTTTATTGTTTTATGATTTTACTTCTGTTTACACTCTTCATTTCTTCCTCTTTATTGTTGTAAGCTGCGTAGAGTAGCGCCATGGCAAAGTAGGCAGCAAATAAATTTAACAACAACAACAATCATAATAAATAACCTACTGGCCTTCCAAAATAAGTAGCCTGACTAGCTACCTATGTGTATCATTATTGATACAGATCACTCTTTTTGCAAAATTCCTCTGCAACATATTTTAGAGCTCAAATCGCAACTAGATAAGTGATCCAGGAAGCTTGCACAGCTGATGCTGAACTGGAGTCTGGCTGGGCCTGATCAATCTTACACTTTCACCACTGTACCACCCTGGCTTTTATTCAAATTTAATTTAAATTGGACAAAACTGAGCTAACAGCTCTCAAGAGCATCACAGCCTATGTAGGCAATATCTTTCTTTTTCAGGTACATTAAAAACTGCAACCTTGGGTTTCTTTTCTTCTTTGCAAAATCCAGGTTGTTGTTTTTTTCTTTGACAGAAGCTTTATCTGCATTTGTAGAACCTTAGTTATCCTTTAGCTGCTGGGGAAAGATGCATGTGCGAACGGGATCCATATACAGCCCCCCCCCAAAAGCAAGGAAACTCTTGACTGCCAACTTATCCAAAAGAAAAAGTCCCTCTCTTATCTCTATAAGCTGAACAGGAGCTTTCAACCACTTTAAGACAGGTGCGTTTTAATCTCTCGGTTTTGGTTTTTTTAAGCAGACAAGGTCTTGGCTGTCGGCCACCGGAGTCACAGATATATAGTTAGAATTCAATCAGAGTGTGCCTTTCAGCATGTTCTGAGTTGAGACATTTGCTTTCCGTACTAGAGTGGTGTGAAAAGGCAGAACACCAAGTTTACGTCAAGCTTTCTTCCTTGAAGTCCGAACTCAGCAGGAGAACGTGTTGTCAATGATGGAGTCAACGCTGCTAACATCCGATGTTAGCAGCATTGACAGATGGTTACTGTCAGCTCAAAGAGAACGTTTCCTTCATATCTGATTTGCTTGCAAACTGTCTAGAGCAGAGGTCCCCAACCTTTTGTACACCAGGGACCAGTTCCGTGGAGAGAGGTTTTTCTGTGGACTGGAAAATGTGTGGTTTTGTGTGCTTGTGGATAGGGCTTTGCTTGTTTGTGTGGACCGGTTGCTGGCAGGCTGCTGCGGTCCAATACCGGTCCACAGACCTGGGGTTGGGGACCCCTGGCCGAGAGGGCCCCTCCTTGCTGAGAAAACACATGCACAACAATAATTACAGGTATCCCTTGACTTATAACCATCCATTAGTGACCGAAGATACAACAACACTGAAAAAGGTAAACATGACCAGTTTTCACGCTTATGACCACTGCAGCATCCCCAGGGTCATGTGATCAGAATTCATAGGCTTGACAACCAGCTCATATTTATGATGGTTGCCATGTCCTGAGGTCATGTGGTACCTTTTGTGACTTCTGACAAGCAAAGTCGATCGGGAGGCCAGTCATTTAACGGCCGTGTTATTAGTGGCTCACTTAACAGTTGTGCCAAGAAGGTCGTAAAGTAAGGCAAAACTCATTCAATAGCTGTCTTGTTTAGCAGCATAAATTTTGGGCTCAGTTGCGTCCGTAAGTCAAGGACCACATGAGGTCTTCAGTTGTGGTTTCTTGTAGCTGACTGGATTCAAAGAATGGGCTAAGCCTTAGATCTTGCTCAAAAACCATAATCTAGGTTTGCAAAAGATGCCAAGCTAAAAAGTAAGTATCTTGGCTTAATAGGAGGAGAGACGTCAGCCATGGAGGGCCTATTTGTAGCTAGACCGGTCTCTCCCTCTCTCCTCTCCTCTTTTGCATTTGATGCACATTTTTGTATATTTGCACAACACGGAGAAGTGACTTAATTGCCCTGCACATCCAGCAGCATTCTGGAAAAAAAGTCTTCGGCCCAGCCTGCCGTGCCCTCTGTGAATCATACATTTGGCAGCCAACTTACACAAAATGTGGCCTCCATATATATGTCAGGCAGGAATGTAATCATTTAAACCTATTTCCCTTCAGAAGCCTCAAATTGCTTTGTGAGGTCTAGCAACAGAATCAACGGAGGGTGACGGCGCTTTCTCTGAATGTAAAAAAGAGGTTCCTGCAATTATCCCTTGTCCAGATAGTAGCTCAGGAGGAACGAGGCACATGAGTCACCAAAGCAACTTAATCAGTAAAGAGAAATGCATAAAAAAAAAAAAAACCAAGAAAGGAGCAGGGTTACAGGGATCCAAGAGAATCGCCCTTGTCTGCAAAAGTGGGGCAACATTGCTTAGAACAGTGGTTCTCAACTCCCAACCGGTCGTACGTTGAGGACTACTCAACTGGTCGTAAGTTGAGGACTACTCAACTGGTGCAGCACCATTTGCAGAATGGGACTTTTGGCGGGCTCAGCAGGGCAGAGACAGCCTGGACAATTCCTATTGGCTTTTGAAAGCCAATAGAATTAGACTCTATTCAAGAGAGTCTATTCTATTGGCTTTCAAAAGCCAATAGAATAAAAGGGAGTAGCACAGCTAAGGAAAAGGGGGAAAAAATGGCAGACTGCGTTGTTTGGCGACCCCTGTGAAATGGTCGTTTGACCCCAAATGGGGTCCCGACCCACAGGTTGAGAACCACTGGCTTAGCTCTTTCTCGCCTCAGTCTTTCAATTTGGACC